TTTTTTGTACCAACACTTTTTGACGGAAATGGCGATCTCATTACCATTTTCGCGCGCACGGCAGTTTAGTTCATTCACTACAAACCTGCCACAGTATCTAAAACTTCCCACACGTACGCGTACTTCGAGTAAAACTATAACATCCAAAATAGTTTTGTTTGTACCGGTCACCAGTAACTTGTAAACGTAAGCTGTTTATTCTGACCAGAAACCAGTGAAAACGGGATCAGCATCTGCATTATTATTCGAAACAAAGCCTAGAATCATTTCTTTATTACACATTGAAATCTCGAGAGCGTTTCAGAGCAATTCTCGTATCCTGCTAAAATTTGGGAAGCCGGGTTTATTGACATTACCGTCAAATAAGGCAGTTACTATTTACATACCATACTTACCTGTTCTTCCAAATTTAAACAAATGCGTCCAATAGTTATCGATTTTGCAGTATTTCCGCTTACAATGAGGATTGCACCAGTATACTTGTTCGATTCCAGTAAAGGTTTTCCAGATATTAGCAGTCGTTTCCTTAAATCTAGATCTAGTTATGATTTCTTGATGGTAAGCTTCTCGTTGCGATGCACAAGCACATCTCCACACCACTTAACATGCTTAATTTTTCAAACTGGAAGAGCCACAACGAGAAAATTAATAGCCACTTACAACAGTTTCCTCTGCATCTGTATATTAAATATCTTCTCCATCCTGCGTTGAATTCAGCAGAACATGCCAAATTCTACAAGCACCCGACCGCGAATAAAACCAGCTCGTTGTTATTGCGCCTTCAAAACGTTTTTACTGTACGATACTTGCTGTGTAGTTTATGGATAGTCATATTTGCTATGGATATAGCAGATTCCATTCTCAGTCATGACTATCAGTCTGGATATCTCCAAAGCCGACAAAAGCTGGTGATTGTCAACATGTTGGCATATCTGGACTCCCAGTTTACCTTCTGGTTCACCGCAAGCGTAACCGTGACCTTTGTAATCTGGGCACCTAAGATTGTGAGTTTTCTTGTATCTGCAATCTCCATTTCGGAAACTCTGCAAGAAAGTTTATGCAAAGACAAATACAGTGCAAAACACAAATACCTCAATTGCTTCGTGTACGGTTTGATGGGATTAACGACTGCCAGATGCGCAAAGGGTCTATTTACCATATACACTACAATGGATCCACATAAAACCACTTCTTACGCGTTTTGGACGTTTTCGGTGCAGACAGCACAAACCATTGTGCATGTGCTGATGCTAGTAAACCGTGTGGCGTTGTTTCCGATGATCGGCTTTGTATGTTATTGTTGTATGCTGTATCGGGATTGCTGCAGGCTTTTAAAATCATTGGTTAAAAGACTTAATATCCTAAGCGCAAACACGGAATGCGGTGGTCCCAAATTTGCGGAAGCTGTGCGGGAAGTAATGATTAAGGAAACAGCGGTTTTCCATTTATTAGTGCAGCTGAATGATTGTTTCGCACCGACTGTGTTACTTGTTATCTTGAACTGTATCCTGGAGCTTCTCGCTTTTGCCGGAGAGTGGTATGTTTTATCGCCAGCAACGTTTTCGGACTTATTGGGGTTTTTCTTATATCCTGTGTGCGTGGTTGTAATGCTGTTATCCGTCTTGGTCTTTTGCGTGGCAGTGGATGAAGAGGTATAAATCGTATTATTTTATAGATGTCCGAAATTTTACGTTAAAAAATCTATCATATTCTGTACATAGTATTTGTAGAGTATAAAATTTTGTATATTAAGTATTGGAATTAAGGGGCACAAAGTGCTGGAGGCCTGGAATCAGCTTGCCACAGACAGGAAAAACGCCAAGCAGACAATAGAAGAAACCGACCTTTTGGAGTTTATTGTTCAGAGAGCAGCTTTGCGTAGCTACGGTATCGTTATTGGTGGATGTGCTTATATTAACCGTCCATTTGTGACTACTGTAAGTAAGCAAGTATCGTATCTTATATTACAGTAATCCTACGGCTTCCTACCGGAAAAATGCTCTATTATTGCGCTTAAAAACACATGGGTCAACTTAAATACAGTAGACTGCGTTTCGTGTTTGGTAAAGTTACCATTAGTATAGTTTGAAGAAACTGTATTCTAACTTCTAATGCGCAGTTCTTATTTTGAATTTTAATCCAAACTCGCACCTGTAATAATAGGCATCTTACGCCGGTTAACGTGCTCTACATACGAGTATTTTGCAGGTTGTGGCTGCATATGCCGGATTCATCTGCTTCCTGCTAGAGCGCGTGGAAAACATTTGTCTTGAGGGAGCTTCGTAACCAAAAAAAAGAATTTTCTTCATTGCAGTGCAAAAGAAAGTACGCATAGTAATGTGGCAAGAGCATTTGCAGAGAGCCAGAGAATACCTGGCAGATAAGCGCTGAAGGCGAACGCATTTGCACAGCAGTTAAGAAAATTAATGATAAAGGATCTTCACGATATTTTACGAGTCCAGTGACCTGTGTAGACGCGGTACGCAAAGAATCGAGGTGACAAACCCGTTAAAAGAGTCAAACCTGTATAATCTGTCGTGCAATATATTTGTAAGCCGTTGTATGCTGTTAATATACCACTTCCCAGACCACGACCAGTCGGAGGAATAGAGCGACTCTTAATCTCAAGTTCTTGTGTATTTCATGGAGCGGAAGGTTAAGGATGTTGATGTACAAGTATGAGATGAAATGCGAGGATGAAGAAGAAGTCAGGAACCCGGAACCCTGCTGAAAGACACGAAAGGAAAACACAAGAGAGATGCGTGAAGTTATACGTTACCTGTCCGACGCTAGATGGTAGCTGAAGCGTATGAGAAATCTATCAACCTGGCGCTACAGGGCATGATGATCGAAGGGACCGAAAGGTCAAGGCAAAATCAAGTGGGATCAAGTGGGTAACCTATTACGTCACGAGACTATCCGATGATGATAATGCACGTCGACGAAGTAGAGGAATGACCCCTGACAATAGGTGAAAGGTCACCCAGAGGTCAGTTTGAACAGCCTCACTTGGAAAGAGAAGACCAGAGCAAAAGCCTGAAGTTAATCAGATCGAGTACAAGACTCTACTTTTGTTGGGATTACAACTCTTGACATTTGTGTGGGCGACGAGCGCCTTATATAGCCCTGGGCACCGCAAGTGCTGGCTCTTCGTACACGCAGGTACGGATCTGAGAACAATAGGGATCTAAACTCTAGCCAATAGAAGACATCTGTGGACACGTGGACTAATCACACCGCTGCATCACTACACGTGGACTAATGAGAACATGAGGTCAACTAATACACTAGAACAATAGGTTGAGCTACGTCATCGAAGCGCGGTCAAGTCGAAATGGCAAGTCGCGGTCAAAGTTCTCTGTTGGGGATTTCTAAGAAGTCGATACTCGGAGTCGCGGTCATGACTCGCGTAGAAGCTGTAGTAAAGCCTAGGCCGTAGTTGTAGGGGTAGAAGTAGTAACGTAGTACCGATGTGTACTAAGGGACGCCAGTACACGTCAAATCAGTAAGCAAAAACATAATTAACGGTCGTAACTATCGTATAAACAACTTTTGGAGGTATAAACAACTTTATTATAAAAAACAAATAAATTTTTAACGTCTACAATATTTTTTGAGTCTGTGGTTGCATAATATACAGATATGCAACGGCTAGAATACGGTATTAAATATTAATTCATGACCAAGGTTTTACACTTGCAAAACTGTTGGGCTGTATGTAATATGAGTCGTGGCAAGGTTCATCAACACACATTTTCATTGATTGCGAATTTGCGCGCAGATCCCGGATACGATTTCCATAATAAAGAGGAAATAAAATGTAAGGCAAACAAAAAACTGTCAAAGCACTTTGCATTAGTCGAACTCATATTTCCGCTCCTCGAGACCGGATTGTATAAAAACCGAAAAATCCATATCGAACGTTAACTCAAACCCACGTAAAGATGCTTATTCCGACGCTGCATGTATGTATGTTGTCCTAAAGCTGGGCAAAGGAAGCTTTGTCTGCAACCCTAGCTATTCTCCCGTTTTTTTTAAAAGCCCAGTTTCAAAATGACTTTTACATCACACGAATTTTTTTCGAAAAACTTTGATAAAAAAGAGAAGAGAATTTCAACAGTACGACGAGCATCTTTCCAGAATTTAGCTGATTGGCTGCACTACTGTCCTACGAAATGTTATGTCTGCTTTGTCCTGGGATTCAGTAATGGTTCCACTAAGCTTTCACGACACCGCCACTATCTGGGAGCCGCATGGGCAATCGTCTTCCTTGTGGATATGGTGGACTATTTCATCAATGCAGAATATCCTGTCAGTGCTGGCGATAAGCACAACGGCGTCATTGTCAACGTGCTGTACTTCCTTAAAACACAAGTATTGTATTGGTCAGCGGCCAGTGCGACACTGGCCGTCTCTTTCGCTGCTTCTAAGATTCTGCACTCTGTCGCCACAATAGCACACCTCCTAAGCGCACTGTGTATGACATGTAATACACGCGATTCGCATATATATAGAACCGTTCGAAAGAAAACCGCTTATATAATGGTGATTGCCACCTTGGCTGCCGGAGTGCGGGCATTACGGACGGACATCAAAATCTTTACACACTTATCATCCAGCGACCGTATATTATTTTTGGTTTGGAATTTTCACGCACAGTTCCTGCATACTGTCCATCAAACGTTCATATTATTAAGCAAAATATGTGTCGTACCGTTATCCGTTTTCTTTTGTGGCTGCTGTCTGCTGTTTAATGAATGCTGCCACTGCCTAAATCGTCTAATTGACAATCTAACTGGAGAAGCCCAGAACGAAACGTCTGGAAAATTTACAGCCAGAGCCCGTAGTTTAATGGGACAGGAGACGGAATTAATCAGCGCTCTGGCTGATATCAACAGAGCTTTTTCCATATTGGCGCTGATTCTTATCGCCAACTGCTTATTAGAATTGGTGTCGGATGCGGGAGAATACTTTGCCAGGGATCCTGCTACGTTGGAGGAGTTGTTTGGTTTCTTTCTTGATCCTGTTCGATCCTGTGTCATACTGTTGTCGGTTATTGTGTGCGCGGTAAAATTTCAGGAAAGCGTAAGTGAAAGGTCACAGGCAGGTAGTTTCTGTTGTATATTTTCATGGATGAGTTAATAATCGTAATATAAACTTCCAAATTTACGATTACGTACCATTCTTGGTATATTGCTACACTAATACAGCATGTACAATACGTATACGGTATACATGTGTACATACATGGACTGCTTTAATAGTGCTTACAAAACTTTAATAACGTCGTAGGGAGAAGAAACCACGCTGGCTTGGCAAGGGGTAGCAACCATACGTTACCAACTTCCACATGAAGTATGCAAGGTCCAGCTGATGTGAATCCTTAAATTTAGTTAACTAACGTGAAATTCGGATTAGGTTTCCTTTTTTTGCAGCTGCGAACCCATAACGAAATTGAACTGCTTCGTTTTATTTTGCAACGGTCAACAACACGAAACCATGCCCTTACTGTCGGAGGCTTTGCCCATATTTCTCGATCGTTTGCGATAACGGTATTCGACAAACAAAGCAATAAACTGTAAATAAACAAGTAAACTTGAAACTGTTTGACCAACATTGCAGGTTGTTGTTGGATACGCCGGGTTTATATGCTTCTTAATCGAGCGAGTGGAAAATGTCTGTCGTGGCGAACCTCGCAGTCAGCTTTTGGCTAACCACTCTACAGTGTCATCGCCATGGATTCTTCGAAACTTTACTAGCTAGAACATAGCACCATTGTCCAAACCGTCTTTTTTATTTGGACAACGATTGCGATACCTTTCACTTTATAGCCATTGCGATATCGTGAGTTGCAGATACAGACACAAAACGTATGTAAGCTATATACGAGTATATTCCATTTCATTCACATCGGAAATTGACATCCAGACACATTTAAACGAATCGAATTATGTGTGTTAATTTTTAAACTGTGCGGGTGAAATAATCAAGAATGTCTGTTAGCGGTATTTTGCCAAGAAAGCCGAAGAACTGATATTCCTTATATGTGACCGTGTGATGCTGCCGCAGTTGTCAGCTGTCAGAAATTTCTGACATCCGCTGCAGTATTAAAGCGGGTGGATACTAGGGTATACTTGGAAAAACTTTCTTCAGTGAGTTATTGTGTCTCAATTTTTAATAGAAAAAATAGAAATAGATGCTCAGTATAAAGCCTGACCTGCAGTACAGATAGGTAAGCTGTAAGCGTATACTGAACTTTCATGTTTTTGTTCACGTACCGTTGTCAGCTCAAGGTCAAGTCTAAGTCAAACGCACTACGGTGTAACACAAAAACCAACGGTTAAACTATTTTACGGTATACGGTCGCACTGTCCAGACACCTGTGTACGGCCTTTATAGCACATAGAAAGCACAAAAATGACCGCCAGGAACTTTGTTAGCATAATATGATTATGAAACAGCGAAACGTTTAGCGGCAAGGCAGATTTATAATCCTGCTTTGCTTCAGAGATGGTACCGAAGAGGCGAAGGCAATACCGTCGTACAGTAAAAATCACTTTGTACTCGTAATAAGTTTACCCAAATCCAATTCGTGCTCCGTGTAACTAAATCGATCTTATCTGCGCTCCGATGACCTTTTTATGTATTTTTATGTTCAGAGAGATAGCGCAATGCATTGAACGGTGTTTGCTAAACTGTTTCGTAATCGAGCACGTGAATTTATGTCCACTGTGTCTGTCCCAGAAGACCACATATAGGCTGATGCAGCTGATTGACCCGCGTCATTTTGATTTGGAAAGCTGAACAATGGCTGATGCAGCGGAACCGTAATACACATATGTATGTATCTAATAAGATCTATGTATATATAAGTTTAAAGACCAAGCTATACCTCTGTCTGCGTACTACGTACTACATTCGCCTCGCAGTCACCGTTAATTTTTAAAAAAGATTAAGTTAAAATTTTTGAAAGTTTGGTTGTGTAGTTTACTTCTCTTCAAAACTTTAATAATAAAACCCTTTGAAAATTTAACAATCTTAGATGCATTATTTTTCTGGTCTCAAAGGTTGTGCTGAGGTAATCTGGCGCACTGATTTTAATACCATGCTGTACCTCTACAGTGTTATGCTTCCGGACGGTAATTGAAAAACGGAGAATATGGGCCGGAAGGAGTAACGCCGTGATACGGGACACTTACCGCATAATAGGAAAAATAAGTGGAGCGCGGTGCAGTCAATCTATTATAGCCTGGTGGACTGTTTACATTGTTGCTGTTTAACTGATTAATCGGCAGGCATTCGCCCTTGTGGACGTAATTCAATCTGCTCAACATGAATCTAACCCCACAACGACACATCCGCATCCATATACGCCACAGAGTGTATATATCCCAGAAAGCATTGTTGCGAATCACTGAGTTCTTCCCATGTCCCGCCATCCCCAGCCATGCTGGGGTTAATTGAATTGCCTTTTCTCCTCGTATAAACCGGCGGGATGTCTGCATACATATAGGGTCAGGGCGTATTTTGCAACATCTGTTGGCCAAATCCGCCAGTCAAACTAGGACCGCTGAACCACGTTTTTGTCAGAATTCGATTGGCAAGCCGAAATACATTTATTTACGGAAATAAATTCATCGCGCGAGAAATCTGAGATGCGCCGGTATATTATCAATTAATTTTATTACAATAGCCCGTGATTTATTCTGTTGTCGGCTTAGCTTGTAACTAAATCCATTTAAATTCGATATGATGATGTTTAATTGACCAGCGATTATAAATATTCAGACGCATCGCTCTTGTGGAATGGCCTTGCCCTACTACCGTGAAAAGTGCACGCGCACATGATCTGGATATGATCCGATTCCGCTCCAGTTATGCAGAAGTCTGAATTCTAGCAAAGACAAAATGCGGTTATGCCAGGTGAGTGCCCTTACAAGTAAAGTGAAGAACGTTGCGATTCAAAGTGTGAATAGGATGGGCCCTCAATCTGGTATCCCAAAATTGACGTATGTTTGGGTCTTTTGCATATACAGTTTTATATGTATTGGTATTTGTATGTGCAGTACATGTATAGTATCTGTATATCGCCGGTATTTGTTCAGAAAATATAGGTATAACTCAGACTCCCGGTATTCTAGTTGTGCTTCTCAGAATTCGAGACCTTTTGATGCATATAGGATCGCACTTCGAGCTAACTGCGGCTAGCGAAACGGTTTCGGTTTCTAATGCTTCAGGTCAGCGCGGTTCAGATAAAGTGTTCAAGGAAAACATATTTAGGAAAACAATTTCATCAAGTACCTGGACCAAAATCTAGTAACAACTGCAGACAAAAATGGCGACATTACAAGTTAATCTAGTCAGGTCAGGTCTCACCTGGTATCTAACTATTAAAAATATGGCACAGCTTTTTAGTTTTGTAATTATTACGTATCAACGACAGTTCCGAAGAAAGTTCATGGAACCGGGCTATTGATAGATTTGGATCACTGGTAAAACCGTCATAAAGGTGGGTTTCGTTTATATTTGTTTATATTTCAGTGCGAATAAGAATTTGCAGAATGTCCTATTGTAATGCTTTATAATTTTCACAGTATATACAGATCTTCTCAATCTTTTATTACAAGTGCATTTTGCAGTAGTACTCGTACAATTGGCAGTAAACTAATTATAAGTCTAATTATCTGCAATTTAGTAATATATCGCGTAACAATGCCACTGTCCATCTTGTACGTTGAACCATTGCCGTTGCTCTAGGAGTGCGAGAGGAATGAATGAACATTCCTTAAGAATTACATAAGAGACGAATGTTCATTCATTCCTCTCGCACTCCTAGAGCAACGGCAATGGTTGAACAGTACTGTGTACAAAATAAACATTGTTAGTATTAAAAGATATCAGCATAAAATTAGCGCGTAGCGCACCGCAAATGAAGGTTTTATGGTGTCCTTTAGAGTATTTACGTGAATGAGAGAATAAATCTTACCACAGGTGTGTAAAACCTGCATGTGTCAGAAAATTACGATTTTTGGAACCGGTTAAAATCTAGCTACGTAATTTGTACTGCATCTAGTGATGGTGATAAAAAATTAAGGACGTAGTGCAACCGCAGTGATACACTATATCAAAACGGTGTTCCTGATGAATATGAACCTATATGTGAGTTGTATGCGTGTACCCGTAGTTATATAAAAGCCGATAAACGGTGTTGGAACGCATGCATTTCGTACATTAACGAGTCAAAACTACGCACGATTCCTACAAAGGTAATACGATCGGCTGGAGGAGTGTCGGTAATCTAATTCTTTTACCAGTGAAAGATTTATTTTCATTTCGTTACGGATATATCATTAATAAATGTATCAGCAGCGCAAGGTACGCTGGCTCTCTTAATTGAACGACTAGCAGCAGCGTACTCGCGATGATCTAACCGTCTGGTCTAACAATGGACCTGTCACCTGTTTTGCCTTGGGAGTGCAACTCGTAGTAAGCAACCTAGTACTGAAAGAAGGAAGTCCAGGAAATGTTGCACAACGGTTGATGTCAATGACAAATATCCCTCTTACTATATGCGCAGTTGATTGCCAATCTTCAGATCACCGCAGGAAGCCGCAACAGTGGCACCGTATACGTACGAGTACATATACCGGTGCACAGAACCTTTTAATCAGCTGTAATTCGCCGATGGCCGACATTCAACATCTGTGAGCGCGGCAGTATATTCCCGGGCTGGAATCGCAGTCAGGCGCAAGCTGTGCCGGTGCACACACACCAAACACAGTCAGCCGACAACGCTCGGTCAATACTCACGCAATGTAAATTGTTTCCCATTGATAGCATTAGAATATGATCCGGCTAATATACCGATTCGGTGGCAGGTTCGTTGTCATCAATCATTCAGCATCCACTTCACAGACACTGGCCACGGCACTGTCAGCTCTTTATCCCTGAATTGCATTACGCGACGGGAGCACACGCACTCGGCACATAACTGCTCATGCATCGGTATACAAGTGGGCATGTGCTGTGTGTTCCAGGGACCACAGTATGGATGTCACGTTCCGGTTACGGCGCAACCGATACGCGTAGCATGTTGATTCTAACCACCGAATGTTTAAGACGTCCCCGAACGTACGTACGTACCGAACTCGCCCGGAATACCATTGAAAACAGTGTCCTCATTTAACTCTTTACCATAAATTATAAATAATGCAAAAAATTTCTAAACTAATAACCATTTCATGGGATTTTGTTTAATGCTTCGTGATTTTCAATTCGGTTATATTTTGGTATATACGAGATTTGTAACACGTAACACTAGATTTGCAGATCGAACGTGACTGTTGCAGACCTTTCGAAAACCACCATTCGAAAATTTTAATGCTTTTATTGTAGTATACTGCACAGTCTTGACAGGGCACTTCGTACCGTAGCAAGTGAAGGCGCTAATTACGATACAGTATATACGTATATGTATTATTGAAAATAACTGTATTGAAAAATCTATCTGTATATTTATACGTATTTTTGAAAATAACTGTATGACTTGACTGTATTAAGAATCGTAAACAAGACTATAGATTAATTAATGTGATACGATACATACATAAAAGTTATTGGGTTAATATTCAGTAATGGCGGGATGGGCGCTATTTGGGCATGTTAATTTAATCTGTACAAAATGTGCATATACACCGGTTCGGCTCCCTGAAAAACTCGCCGCCGAATCACTGATGCAGTCCACATAAAAGCCAGCGAACGAGGAAATTAATCACGAGGAACACGCAATAAATAATTCCCAGCCTATTTGTTCAGCAGAGTGAAGATGGTGAGTGCAGGCGCGTTAAAGCCGCGGGATTGTGTGTGCCGAGTGTGTAAAAGTCGGGGGATATATGTACAGCGATAGGCCACTGATGCCTGAACGCCGCGGCCCGGGTTACAGCTAATGTTGACGTAACTTCCGTACGGTCATCGACTAACGGCCACTAATTCATCCTCGGTACAAATCGATTCCGCGCCAGCCTGCACACCAAGCAGCTGCTGCTAGTGGTTGTAACAATGTCGACATCCCCGGCTTTATTGACATCGTAAATGAGAAGAGTATAGACCCGGAAGTTCTCTTCCCGGATAAAAATAAACCCTCTACTTTTAAACGGCAATTTAGCCGGCATACATGCCACTTGTGTCGCATCTGTACCGTATATATGCAAACGGGAAACACCGTTGACCAATTAAGCGCGGTAATGGAAGCATTCCTATTAATTAGGCAACATCCTGCTCATTATGAGGTAATTGACTTCCGCTACACTCATTCTCCAAACATTTATTGGCGTGCACTTGAGTTCGTTGCGGTCATACACCGGCGTCGGCAACGGTAGCGCGTCCGGAATGTAGCACAATGATCTCCTCATACTGCGTTAATAAGCTAATCATTGATTTACTTATAATGTCAACCGGGTTATCGATCCGTGCAAATGGGCGCCCGTTGCTCTCCCCGTAATATACGTCGCAAACCGCTGGGAATTGTGCAACCGATAGCGGAACTCCTGCAGAGTCTTCTGTCGCCGTTAGCGGCGGTGGCGACGTGTAATCAATAGTTAGCCCAGATTTCCTTTAACCGATCAACCTTAACTTCATATTATCGTAATATTGATGATTAATTACTGTCGGGAGAGTTGAGAAAACCATTTAGCTGCCCATCTCCAGGTGATCGTGAGGTTTCTGACATGAAAACATTAGGGTAACTGAATCACGTACACACCGCGCTGAACCGGCTGAACTATTCGTACATATAATTATACAAAAAGCGCATATAGATATACGTATTTACGACATAGTGTATTGTATACGTAGGCGTACTTATAGAAGCGTATATACCTAGGTCGCATAATATATACGTCAGGTGACCTTCTAACAGGAAACCATTGGGGCAATTTAATCACGTGAACCTTACGGTGAACCGGCTGAACTAATCTTTATACAACAAGTGTGTGTGTGTGTTTATATACGCTATATGTATACACAGGCATACATATCTCGTATATGCCATATATACGCCAGGTGACCTTGAGGTTTCTGACGGGAAAACATTAGGGTAACTGAATCAGGTGAATCCGGCGATGAACCGGCTGAACTAATCGCATATATATACGACAAGCGATTAGTCAGTGGAATGGGAGTCGGGATGGTGCGATAAAAGAACAGTAATTACTCGCCCGGTCGTCGTCTATCTGGGGGTGATTTTTTGTGCGTAATCTGCTGCAATGATCTCTCCCTAACCGAACCTATCAGTAGTCCCCACGCGGCGGCGGCGCCCGGCCGGCTGGCCACAGCGGATGGGATCGGGACACGACATCAGGAAGTATGCATGTCTCTTTTGTGGTGAAACTGATAAAACGCCACGCCACGGCATTATACTCCGCCTTGATCATTTTCCACAGCAGCGCGCTTCATCGGCGTTGCGATGGCGTGCAGCGTGTATATGTTGTGCCTGTTGGTGGGTTCAGCCGGTTCACCAGCTGCGCCGCATATATACTGTATGCATCCCAACACAATTACACAATACAACACAGTCGTTGCGCGCGTAGCTCTACATATCCGACGACGACACTGGCGTTTTTGTGGCGCAGCGGGACTCTGACTTCCTTCCTCCAACGGCTCTTAACATCCGCACTTTTCCCCAACTACCAAACTGTCAGCTTCCGTCGGTTGCCATTCTTAATCTGCATAATTCATCTGAGCCCTTCAGCAGCCGTTGGCTGCAGTGCCGTAAGTGTGTCCCTTCTACGTCGATGCATTGTGGCAGCCGCACACATATATAGCACACTGCACCGGCAGTCCAAGTTGTAGTTTTTCGCACTCTAATTCGGTTTTTCCACTCCTTTTCACACCCCGTAAACGCCGGGCGGCCACAGCAGTGCCGAGGCCAATAATCAAGCCACTCATTTCTCACGAAGCAACGCCCCCTGGGGCACTTTTCTAATTCGTCCACAGTACATATGTATACTGTGCAGTGCACAGCTGTATAATATATTGGTAACGTGTCGATGGCCCACTGCATCATGTCGCTATAATCTCCCTCGACTCCGCCCCTCTTCCCACCAATTTTCTTCCAGTTCATTGGCTGTCTATAGGCGCCTGTGTGCATTTCCATCACAAAGCCGGTGCGCGGCGGTAATGTAATGTGCGCGCGCGTTGGTGGCACTGCCGGCCATGGTCTTATACACTGTGTGGTGGTGGGTTTGTTAGGCGCATTATTCCAGTATACGCTTCCTTAACGCACCGCTGTTGTTGTCGGTTGCACCCGCCGCACAGCAGCTGCCTGCTGCCTGGGCCACGATGGTACTTCTTATCCGGATAAAAAGCACATCCTGTATCAGCCAGCAGGGATTTGGTTAGCGTCCTGCTGATTCCACTACTGATCAACATTGGGGCCGGCGCGCGCTCTCCTTGTTTAGCTGCGTTACACGCGTTATTATAACTGCCGCATTCCAGGCAACAACGGCACAGGATGCCCTTATAGTGCAGATCAGTCTCTGACAATGCTCCTCGGGAATGATGCATCTGCCGTCCGGTGTTTTATCCCTGTGTACACTTTCCCTGACAATGTAATATCAAGAGCTTCTGACGCTTAATCTGATAACACATGTGGCTCGGTCTCCGTTGGGCACGCACACACACGCTGCATATATATACGCGATCGGCATATATATATGTATATATCTCCGACGGTATCAGTCGCGCTGTGCAGCACACTGGATTATATTCCCGTTTCCTCTTTCGCCTCTCTCTCTCTCATCCTTCCCTCTCGCGCTGATCTCCTTCCGTGGTGTGGCAGCAGCAATTGCAACTAGTCAGTGATTTCCTAAGGAAAACATCTCATTAGCGATTAAATTCCCCCATCGGCCGGGGATTTCCACAGGGCACTGACGATCCCTGGATTACCGCAGGGACAGTCCGGCCGGCAACGTTGTTCGGCGTGGCTGTTGTAGCGCCGTGACGATCACATTAAGCGTGATCGACAAATGACGAGTGCTTACTGGCCACTATATACACTTTGTACGGGATAACTTAACCACTCGTTCCACTGGAGACGCGCGTGATGTGCGCTTAATTTCGTGCATTTGTTGTTGATTCCTGTGAGTCTATCGTGTATATTATGTAAAAAACGGAATGACTCTTGATGATGGTATTACATGATACTGATTGGCATCATTATCTGCCGGCTTAAGTTGTACGTGGATCTAGCGAGAGATGTGCCCAGGTAAGAAGGACACTCGGTTGTTGACAGGCTAGTTGATTGCGTAATAGTCGTGTGTGCCATGCGGACATTCGTAATTAGCGGGCTACTTTGTTTACACTGCTGTTTGATGTGCATGAGCATATAGAAGCGTAATTTTTCGGTAAGCCGGCTCAACTGCATTATGCCCTGACCCGATTAGCACTGTCCTCTGTTTTTTGTCAATCCCGTGATCCAGATAAAAAACCGAACGCACGTTCGATACCATGCAGTAGCGTGGAAGAGAGCGTGTCGCGAATGCATATCGCCGATACGCGTTCGGGGAGGTTATTAATGGAAAAGCGTGGAGAGTGGAACCCGGGCGCTCGCGCTTGTCGTGCACGTAGAGATTATCGATATCAAATTGACAGATGCAGAGTAAATTGTATAAAAGTCAAATTTAATAGCGATCTTGGGAGATATATGCAACGGGCCAAACGGGACTACCAGCCCGGGCGCCGGTGCTGAGCTCATAAGTCTTAACTAAACAGCTCCAAAACGCCAACTGCCTCCTCTGGATCCGCTGTCTGCCGATCCGATATATATGTATATATATCGTGCACGATGGCCTCGGCCTGCAGTTTTCTAATTCTTCAAGAGTGTTTGTCCAATGGCACATGGCTAGCTGTGGGGATGTGTGTAATTTATAGGGAAAATGTTGGTTTTACCCGGATGATTTTTTGTCGAAGCTGTGATAAACGGCACTCTCTGTGTGACTGGGGATGTGTGTGCAGTGCAGCTTCTACACAGTGTGGACTATTGACTGTGCATTGCCAGCGAGTACTTTAAAGTGTACCGAGCTAATGACGTAAGACGTTGTCCAAGTTTGTTAGCTTCCGCTGACTGTTAAAAAATATGTTAAGGGAAAAATGGATTGACAAGGCGTCGCGCTGAGAACTTAATCGAGAAATGGACCGTTAAAAACGTTTGAATTATCAAATAATTCCGAAATCGCTACCGGAAGTTCTCATATATGCAAGTACATTTAATTCAGCTAGTAAATAATTAAAAGTAAAATTTTTCTAAAAAAAATAGTAGACAAAAATGGTAAAATTACAGGGCGTCCAGAAATCTACCGTCGGATTTTATATAAATGAGCGCATGTTCGAATAAAACCATCCGCTACGTCATAGCCACTTCTGAAGCGCTTAAGCAGATTCCATCCTGTTAGTAGCCCATTCTTGAGAACGTGCAGTAACTGCGTAAGCATGTCCTGGATAAGGGCATGTTATTTAATCCGCATGGCAAAAGTCGCGCGATGAGCCTGTTTCTTTTTCCGCTTATATCTCTAATTACATGGACGTCACGGTCAGAAAAGTGTCAATGATATCAATATGCTTTATCGACTGACTTTCAACCCTTTGTCAAGTTTCCCACTTCCCTTTTGGCCCACGCGCAGCGCAGGCAGATGCCATATTATATATATTGTGTCTATAATATGTAACACCTGGTAACCGGAGATCACATCACAAATGCAGAAGCTGCAGTAATAGATAAGCCGCCCGAAAAGAGAGCCTGTTGTTCGGTTGTGCGTTAGCTGTTGGACCAACATCCGGTGGTATTAAAATGTAAAGGTGAACTTGAAAAGAGTACACACAGACATATTGGCTAAAATTACAGTTTCCTTGAATCTTTTCTTGATCACTTTTGCTCCATATATACCGCAAAAAGGAAGTCGCGACTGCCTTCTTCAGCTCCTGCAGCCAACATGGAAACTTAAAGAAAAGAGTACACACAGACATATTGGCTAAAATTACAGTTTCCTTGAATCTTTTCTTGATCACTTTTGCTCCATATATACCGCAAAAAGGAAGTCGCGACTGCCTTCTTCAGCTCCTGCAGCCAACATGGAAACTTAAAAAGCGCCCTACCATTGAGTAGTACGATAATATTTTATTTAATTTCGATTCTATGTTTATTTTCTGCGTTTTATATGTACATGCAGCAGAACAACAGCAGATGCATGCCTAACTGGATAAAACGAAGCTTCTGCAAATGTATCGGATGCTGAAATAATATATATATATAAACAATCGGCATTCGAGGACAAAGATAAATAACGGAAATTTAGAGAAGACTCCCTGCATACGTTATTATGTTCGGTCATCGGTCATGGATGTTGAATGTTACCAATATAAAGCAGATTAATGGACCCGTAAAGATATGAATTGTTGCCGACTTTTTGCCAGACAAAACCTAAATATTATTTGTTAAAGAATTAATTGATTTTCTCCATGTAAGCCGGGCGGATTGCGTAATCGAGTTTTAGTGGGGATCTTTGTCGTGATAAAGGAGCGAGTGTATGGTGATATACAGGAGAGCGGGGGCGCCTGGACTCCTCATGTTGGGATCGATCTGTAAGGGACTAATCCATCTTACACGGAAATTTCATTACCCAAATAATAACCTGATGATGGAGCTTACGGGATCAAGTGAGCTAGACGATTAAGCCCGTGCAATGGGCAGAGTGAGCGGGATATATATCTGTAGCGCGGTGTATTATCCGTTGGCCGAGCGTCCCGTGTAACGCACACGCCATCCACCGCGTGCAGCGGCGGTCCCTCACAAACGCCGGCTAATCTGTCGGCGATCCGCAACAGATAATGGCGGTACTGCTTGTTGGTTTCCTGACTCGGTATACGTGCGCCGGCTATCAAACACACCACGGTAATACGATATACCGGCATATATATGTAATATGCGGCAGAAATCTGGAGCTGTTGTCTTTCTCTCCCCGGATTATCATCCCCGCGTCGACGCCGTACTGTCACACATCCCGGATGTGTACTGTGTGCGGCTAACCATGCCGGCCACTTCTGGCACTTTAAAATCCAGTTTAATAGTCAAAAAGCCCCCATTGTGCCGGCGCCATATACACAAGCGGCGGCCGGAACAATGGCCGGGAACGCCGCTGTATATATGCGCTGTCGATCATCTTTCCCCCGCCATTCAGCGCTGTCACGGCGTATTGGCGGGATAAACGGGATTATTCCTCTGTGTACGCAGGACAAGGACGTATTGTTGTCCTGTCTGTGGCGTTATTGATAAATCCTTGTACCGTAATATAATGCCCACTCCAAAATGCTGTAAACAGATCTCTCTTCGCAAATCACGCGCCGTTAATATCGCAAAAAATAATGATTTATCGCCGTTGATTTAACGTCGTGAAAATTTCTGAAACGTCAGCGCAATTTTTTATCACATAACATATAATTAAAATTTATACAGTATAATTACCATTTGTGTTGAGTATTTACTTTCAATTTATTTTAAAAGCTCATTTTTAATTGACTCTTTGTTTTCATGCAGAATATTTTTTGACATATTTTTGGAATGTTTACGACTGCAAACGCATAGTTAACCAGTTATATAATGCGCTACCTGCAAAATGTGTAATACGGGAGAACCTTGCCGGCTGTCAGCGTACTGTATGTTTTCGGCATGATCCTTAGCGCGAGCATCTAAGAAATGCCGTGCAATTTGCGCTGGGAGGAAGTGCGAGTTTTCTCAAGTAGAAATGAAGAGGTTAGCCACGCAGCTGCGCTCCTTCACCAGCAACACCCTTTCAATAACCCTTGAGCAGCAAGTTATGCAAATTACTTTTTATATCCTTAACAGCTCGCAGAGCGTCGGAGCTATTTTTCATATGTACGGGAGTCCAGTCACAGTAAAAAAGAAAATTGACGCATTTGACACGAACTTATTAAGCGTCATGATGCTCCCCTTATTTAGCGCGTCAAGAAAAATCTCACTGCTGTTTGCTTTAACTGCCGATTATAGAAAATAAATGTTTATGCGGCTTTTTCCCGCAGTGTGAATATTTTCCAAAGGGAGTATAATGACCCCGCAAATAACGCGCGCTTGCAGGGCTTAGCGATTTAATCGCATACGGGGACGTCACAAAGGCGTTTTTGCGGCTGTTGTTTATTAAGATTGATGATCATGTTTTTGCTGGCTGGGATGAGACACATGCACCGGTCGCGTTGTCCTCGTTCGCCGGCAGCAGCGCAACCGTTTTCTCTATTGCGTAATGAACTTCCCGGTTGTCTGTTATTGTGTTCCCTTGTCAATTGTCGGGCTCATCGAAGCCCGCTGTTTATGCCGGCTTCCTCATTCGATGAAGCCGGCGATTTTCGACATCCGGGAGAAAACTGCAAATATTAAAGGAATATGGCGTATATCTAGAGCATAGTAATGTACTCATGCAGGCAGCGTGCAATCTCCAGACATGTTGTTGATAATTAATTGTAATTTCCGGTAACTCTCTATATTAGTTAGACGAATATAACCCAATGTGGACAAGGATTACGGCAGTTATACAGCTTGTCCGGGATATATTTATCCCGTAATCTGGATTAAAATCCCGTCCACAGAAATAGGTTTTCAAGGTGAACTGTCTGACAAATCGATTGCGAACACCCGGAAGTACGCTACACGAGCCCGGAATGGGCGGGTAGCGACGGGTCCATCAAACATAACCATATTTTAACCATAAAAAAATCCTCCCGCTTGTTTGTCTCTTTCGCTTAATTGCATTTTTAGGCGAATAACAGGGCAACTACAGACAAACCCAGCGATCGCCAGTGATGTAGTACAGCCTTTGAATTCGACATTAATTCAGACTTCTATTTTGCGGGAAGCTAGGGCTATAGTTTTTGGGGTTTGTCGTGTGCACGAGGCATTGTTTTTTTATTTGTACAGTAGACTTCAGATGCCCAGAACAGTTCTGTGAATGTTACCAATAACATTGTAACCTATGCATCAACGTTAGTGATATCGTTGATCGGTTTCCTAAAACTTTCCTAAAAAGTTACCATAGTTTATTATTAATCAGTGTCAGCAGTAATTTATAACAGTGCTGACCACCAGTTGTGCTCTGTATACAAAACAACAACTGTGCATTACATAATAATTATGCTAAGTTTGGTTTGTCTGAGTACAGATACAGTGCAATTCTGCTGGAGTGTCCAGCTTAAGTGTTGCTG